ATATTTATTCATATAAAAATATTAAAGAGACGAAACTTTTGACGAAATTACAATTTTTCAAAAAAGAGTTTAATCAGATATTACCAATTATGGTATTAATATTGAATAGATATTGTATCAGTATCGTAAAGATATCAAATTGATATCGAATTTATAACAAATCAATATTATGTATATATCATTTCAATATCGTATCGACATTATTTTAACATAAATATGATATAGAATTGACATCGTAATTTTATTATATAAATATTGTATCTATATCATATCAATACTATTTCGATATTAATATCATATCAATATCATATTAATACTATTTTGATATTAATATTGATATAGTATTGATATCATATCGAAATTATTTTAATACTATTTTAATATTATTATTGATATCGTATTGATATTGTATTTGCATCAAAATTATATAGTAAAGATAAACTTAACGACTTTGATTCAATTATTGTCAAAATATAGTAAAGTTATTGTTAGAATTTTTAGGTTTCTGTAAAGCTGACTAAACTCTTTTTTAAAAATTGTAATTTTGTCAAAAGTTTCATCTCTTTAATATTTTTATATGAATAAATATAAATTATTATATTTTTTAATATATTTTAATTTTATCAATTAAGTAAAATAATTTTGTCATTAATAAAAAACTAGTTCGTCATTTCAGTTTTATCAATTTCGTCATATTAAGAAAGGTAATTTTGTCAGGTATCACTAATTATAAGTAATATATTATTATATATTCATTACATAAAAATTATTTGTATAATTTACCAATAATTTTTTTTTATTTATTATATATATTTTATATTTTTTTATCTTTTTATATATATATTTATTTGAGAATATTTTTATGAATATTTTCTTTTTTGCTTTTTTAAATACATATAAAAAATTATTTAATGAAAATTCAATGTAATTATAATAAAGATGGGAACTGTAATTAATATGTTACAACTTTTAATGTTGCAACTTATGTTGCAATTAGTTTTAACCTATATATGTTGCAACTAATTTTAGCTTATGTTGCAACATTTTGTAAATTTGAAATCAATTGCTGTACCATCTTTAAATTATAACAATATTTTTAATGTTAAATTAATATAAGGTTTGAAAAATTTAATATTAATTTAATGATAAAGTGTAAAAATGCTAAATTAATATTAAAAAAAAATAATAAATTATTATTTAATTAAAATTAATTTATAATATAAGAATTTTGTAATAAATTTTAATATTAAATTAATGTAAGTAATGAATTAACATAGTGTAAATATTTCTTATGTATTTGCAAACATTTTTCTTTTTTTTATGACCAATTTTTTAATCTTTTTTATATAACTTAATATAATAAAAATAAATCAAAAGGAAATTTAAATAGGCAAATATAATCTAAGAAATTACAGTAAATAAATTATTAATTTAATATTTTATTTTATTTTTATATATAAATAAATTTTATATTTTTAATTTATTTAATCAATTATAATTTAAATAGAATATCTAACTTTATTTTTTATTTTAATTGTTTTTGAAATAATTAAGCTATTTTTTTCAATATTTAAATCAAAATTTATTTTTTGATTAATTGGTAATTCTATAATAAAAAGCTTTTTATCATATAAATGAATTAATATATAATATAGTTTAGAAATTATATTATTTATCAAAACCAAAGAACTTGTTAACAGTGCGAAAAAAGGAATAATATCATATGTAACAGTAAACTTTTTATAAAGAATCTAAAATCAAGTTAAAAATATATAATAAAATTTAATAATAAAATAAATAAATAAATAAATAATTTTTTATAAAATTGCTTACTTGTATTAAAAATTGAGGAATATCTTCAATTAAAAATCCTAAAAGACTTCCCCAAAATATATAAGATTGTGTTATTTTTTCGATAGGAGCACTAAATGACATTATTCCAGCAACTTCGGAAGTAAGTATATTTAATACTTCAAGATCCGCACCAGCTAATATTGTGAATAAAACTGCTATATTGGTATTATTTCTAAACCATTCATAAAAACTTTTATTTTGTGTAATTTCTTTAAATATTATAATCATACTTAAGATGGAATTTATTGCCACTGGCGCTACACAGAAAATTATACTGCAATGCGAGTATTTGAAAATTAACTATAAGGAGATAAGACAATTGTGTTTGAATATATATATTACATACCTTGGAATAATTAATTGAGGAACCCTTTTTCCATTATTCGGGATAAATAAAATATCCAAAATAAAATCCGAAATAATTAAAGTAAGTTTGAATATTACAATATTTTTACCCTAAAGATAGAAATGTTAATAATTGTATAAATCTAATGAAGTTTAAATTGACCGAAATTAATCTGTTAGTTCCGGCCAGACTTAAAGTTTAATTCACAATTGAATACTTTACCGTAGGATGCTTTTTCCTAGCATATAAATAAAGCAAACATAAAATTATCACTCCAATAACAATACCAATCAAATGAAATTTAACATCATCAAAAAAGTTTCCTAAATATATAAAATATTTAAATGAATTACGATAGATATTGGAATCTTTTCTTATTCAACAATGTAAGCTACTTACTAGTACGTTGAAAGCCAAAACTTGCATCTATAAAATTTGTTAAATCGAACAAAGATATAGGAGTCAGTTCTTTATATTTAATCAATAGATCTAAATCTTTTATGATATTATCGACATTTCTTTCATTTAAATTTGATGTTGATTTAATAGATAATGATAAAAGTATTTTTGGAGGCCGTTGACTTTTATCATATTCATATTTAATATCATTTAATCTATTAATCTCCAAAGGTATTGATTTTGCCAAATAAACTTTTAACTGTAATAAAAATCCTGTTTGATTATATGACGAAAGACTTTTGAAGTATTTTGTTCCTTCGTTCGTTAAAGAAAATCGACCAGTTGCATCCTCTGAAATTTAAAATAAATTAAATAATAAAGACGAAGTTTTTTAAAAATTTACACGTTTAATTACCCGTAAAAATATCTTGCTTATCGACTTTAAATCAATGTAATGAAATAATTAATATATTTGAATGATTACAATATTATTAAATAATTATTTACCAGTATTAAACTCCCAAATATTACTTCCAATTCCTATTAAAGGTTGATTTGTTTCCAAATCTTTTACAACATTATCTTCAATCACAATGTAATACTTTGCATTTGGTTGATTAAATGTACTTTCCAAAACACTTATATTTATTGTTCTATTATCTGCACTATATATAAATGAAGGAGAGCTGCCTGGAACGGTTTGTCGCAATATAGGATCGCTATTATTAACTTGATAAATAAAAATATTGTTTATTGATCTTGTTACTGGATAGTTATATGTGATATTAATATTAGGTACTGATAAAGATATATTGGAATTAATTGATGGATAAGTAGTTTTGATATTTGGATTATCATAACCAATATCTAATAATTTAAATCGAGTTAAAGTAAGTTAAAAGTATAAAATGAATAAAACTTACTGATTAAATATTTACCATTAGAAGTGAACGTTGGAGTATCTGTAGAGTAAATTTTCCAAGTATAATCATCTTCTTGGTGAACAATGACAAATGTGTTATTTCGAAAACCTCCTGTTGAATACACATTCATAATTTTTATATTTTCTGGAAGATCCAATGTATTATTGTAATTTCCGTTATTATCAAGTATGATGGATTGAAATGTCTTATAAAGAGTATCTTCTGAATTTTTAAAAATCATCAATAAAAAACCTCCATGATATAAACTATTAAATATCGTAAATTCATTTTCTTTTAAATTTCTATATAATCCAAGTTCCGAAAAATTATCAACATCAACAACCGAACTGTGTTGTAGATTGAATTAATAAATTATTATTAAATAAGAGATTAATTAACAAAATCATACAAACCCTGAATTTTGAAATATAATTTTAATCACATGATATTTAGGATCTTCATGCTGTTCATCTTTCATATTTAAAATGCAAAAATAGCCCTTAGTTGTATAAGCAACATTACAATTAGATTGAATTTGCAAATTCGGTATCGAAGTTTGGTAAAGTAAATATGGACCATCAACATTTTTATTTGGTCCAACGAAGGTTATATATAGCTCGAAAGTTGGCTCGATTGGATCAATTACATCATGAGGTCTATTTGAAATATTTTTAGTTACTATTCCAAAGTTTCCATCAATTGTGGGGAAAATATCTGATATTTTTTGATCAAAACGACCATTATTTATTGGTAGAAAATTTCCATTCGAATCACTAAGAACGCATTTAAATAATATCAATATTGTGCTGTATGTATTTAATTTGATTTTGCTAAACAGTTACAACTTACGAATTGCCAAAGTAAATCCATTCCGTAATAGTTTCAGTTAAAGGATTGTAAAAAAGAAAGCCGTGTTCCTCATTGGTGTGTAAAGCCAAATTTCCCAAATTTGAAAGTGTTCCATTGATTACGGAAACGCGTGAAATATATGTATTACTTTAAATAAAGGAAACAATATATAAAGTAAGTATAAATCCGTAATAATTAATGATATCATTTATAAAGAAATATATATATATAAACCTAATAAATTTTCCAGTGCGAGTAACAAGTAATGCAAAATAGCTTGCCGAATTTATATCGGTAGAGTTCTCGTAAAGAACATAGATATAATCCGGCAAATGGCGAAAAAGCACAAGATGTAACGATATATCATTCGGTATAATGCAAAAATTAAAATCTGGGATTGGATAATCAATTTCTGCTTTATCGACTGTACCATTTGGATGTATAATGCGAAGAATAATTATTGGTTCGTTGCAGGTTTCATTTATCGGTTTAGTCAAGAAAACCACCGAAGTTCCGTCATAATAAGTTAATAACTGATAACTCTGAAATCCAGGTTCAATTTCATTATACGAAAAAGTTCTATAAGAAAGTAAGCATAGTGGATTTAAAAATAATATCAAACTCGCTATAAAATATAAAGAATTTGTTCCTGATAAATTCATCTTAAATTTTATTTGATTTTGATAAGGAGTGGTTAAACTTACTTTTTTATATTAAAAAAAAATCCCATGTTTTGGGTTGTTACACAGTAAAAAAGTTTCATAATGTAAATCAATTTTTATTATTTTGATAAAAATAGAAAATTATGTGGTCAAACTATAAAGTTTCACCTATAATTGAGGCTTCTTGATAGACATTTCTGTGAAATATAGATCAGTAACGTAATACAAAACTTGGAACTTTTTTTTTATCATAGAATAGAAAAGAAGTCCTATATTTTTCTTGTTTGAATGTTGAGTAAAAATTGAATAAAATTGAGTAAATGTTATATGTACAGTAGGTCCCAGTTACGTTTTAGGAAATTTTATAGTCAAAAAGTTACATTAATCATTAATCATTAATCTTATTCATTAATCTACGAGTAACGCCCACCCTTTTTGAACTTGTGTTATTTATAAAAAAGTAAAAAATAAAAATTACCACCACATAAAAATTTTTATTGTTTGTTCATTATAGCAATTTTCGATTACCTTCTTAGGTTATAAAAGAGTAATTAAAAGTTAAAATAACGCATTGAGATATGCGACTTCTTAATTATTAAGCATTAATATTTATGCTGATTAATCACAATTTTTTTTAAATTAAAAAAAAATGTATATTGTCACTGATTTACAGATTAATTTTATGTTGATCAAAAATTAGAAGATCCGCATAATTCCTGATTTACCTGAATTTTAATATATTTCTTATATTCCTTATAAACCTGATATTTCTGATTTCACTTATTTCCATTATTTTATTATTTTATTTATTTTTATTATTTGCATTATATTTATTATATTACATATATTTTATATACTTATTATATCTCATATATTAGCAGTTGTATTTACAAATTTAGTTAGTTTATAACATAGCAATTAGTTAACCATAGCAAATTAATTTTGTATAAATAAAATAGCTTTTTGCTTAAATTGTAAATTAATTCTCTTGTAAGTTTTAAAACTCTTTGCAAGTTTCAAGTAATAAATAAATAAAGAAATCAACTTTAAAATATGATTATTTTTCCTTTCTACATATCTATCATCTAGAATTTGATTGTGAATTACTACACTAACTTATATCACTTAGAATAAATAAATTCTCTAAATTTCTACTAAATTCCTAAACCTTTAAGTTTATAAAGTTAAGCGAAGTAATTCTAAAGCATTCCATATAAGTTTTACAATATGATCATTTTGAGTAACTCCCGTCTGACATTAAAATGAATCAAGTTCTGAAATTCTAAAATGTATATACTTCAAGAATCTTTTTAGGATAAATGAAAACATCATGGCTAATTGAAAATAATATAATATCATAAAACTGTTATTGTAAGATATCAGATTTAGTAGTTTTCATTAAACCTTCAGGTATTCGAAAACTTCTAAATTATGATGAATTCTGACTTTCCTTCTAGTAAAAGTGCTTTGATTGTAATCTTAGCTCTTTTTCAGCCTAAGATAATAGATATCTTATGAAGACTGAAAATGTCTTTCTCTTTTTAATCGATCTAGTATAGGTAGCTATAATTATAATTTATACTTGATTACAATTTATTTGCACTCTATAATTGTTAATACTTTATAAATCTGTTTAAATTATTTATTTGTTTGGTGATAATAATAAGAAATTAACTGCAAATCAAGGCTATTTGATATCAAGGAATTTTTAGTCACATTGTATGTTTAGCATCCTCTATTAACACTGTCATGTTATACTTCACCAAATTATTGTCTTGTGGCAAATCAGCAGTAATATCACTAAAACTTACAATTATGAGGCATTTATTTTCTTAAACATTCATAACCTTTCCTTTCTCTAATTCTTTCATTTCTATAATGAATAGCTTAATAAATTCATCAAAAGAACTGTCAATCTAAATATAAATGCTACCTAATGAGTAATAAATATTATGAAAAGTCCCAAAATCATCATAGTATAGGTCGATATATACTTTATAAACTGAAAAGTTTGTTCTTAATTTCTTCAATATCATATATTCTAAAGGATTTTTATAAGAATACTTGATACTTCTTAACTTTCAATATTTATTATACTTGTAAAGGATCTTTCAGATTCTAATTATACTGCAAATAGCAATATTATTATTATAAAGAATAGTGGCTGTTGTACATTTAACAATCACTTGCGATTCAATATTAATGATAGCATTATCTGTTTTTTGATCTAAAAATCAAATTTTGCTCTCTTAAAACCTTTTACTTCAGTTGATACTTTATAAATTTCTTAGCAAATTTTCAAATGGTAGAATATGTTGAATCTTGATTTTTAGTCTGCTATCTTGTTATATAATTGCTAATATATAACCAAATCTTTTCAAATTTCTAGATTCTCTATATATTATGAATTTACACGAATAGTACACTTCTACAAAATTTGGTAAATATTTATTAATAAAAAAATTATTTAACTTCTAACTAAAAGTTATCTTAAGTGACTATTATAGATAACTATTCAAATCTTACAAATTTCTTTTAGTTGTTTTCATGCTAAAGTTCTTTATTTTTTTCAACCTCTTGACCTAGTCTAAAATATAATGTATTAAATATTAAAGGGTTATTTAGAATATAACTCAAAATATTAGTAATGAATAAGTAATATATGTTCCTAATATTTTTTGAAGTGAATAGTGTTTTCTTATTAGATATATTAATTTGATGAGACTTAATTAGAAATAGAGGTAATCTTTGCCTAAACTTTCTAAGCGTTAACTATTTGGCATAATATCTTTACTTTTGAACTATCAGTGATAGATTATATCTACTAGTTTGTCATATATGATAAATAATTATTATAAGTTATATTATCGTTTATAAAGAAAGTATCTAATATACTAATTTTTGCTATATATTTTTTTATAAATCATTACAAATTTTATATATACTTACATATACAATGCTTTTGTATCTAACAAAAAACAGCACTTTAGTAATATTTTTGAAGTATAATATGAATTTACTAGAAATTCGTGACATTTGTTCATTACTGAGAGACTTATTGATGATTTCTTCTTCATTCAAATTTTTCACTTATTTCTTTTTTATCATTATCATTTTCTACATCACTTTCGTCAAACTCTATCATCATCCTCTCATATTCACTTAATTCATCATTTATATAGAATTCTATTTCATCTTTATTTACTTCTTTACTTTTCACATTAAGTTATATAGCATCTTCAATTTCCATTTTAATAGTTAATGTTTATTTTCTTATTTTCATTATAAATATCTATTTTAGTTTGATTATTATTTCTAATATCAGATACATTATTATTGCCTTCTAAAAAGATTAAATATCATTGTAAAAGTAAATAAAATTAAATAAATATAATAATATTTACCATCTGCTCTAAAATTTTTTTCATGTAATATTAATGTTTGTGAATATACATTAAATGCGTTATCTAATATAATTATTAGAAGTATATCTATTTCAAAACATGTTTTCAAATAAAAAGAATTTTCTTGAAAATAAAGTATAAAGAAACTTTGTTATATAATTTAAAATTGTTTTTTTATTATATTGTTAAAATTATTACTAAAAATTATTGTTACATTATTTATATATGTTGATTGTTATTGATTAATTAATACTTAAAGCTAAAAAAGATACTTTTTATTCTTTTTATTCAAAATATTACTATATAAAATTTATTTGTAAATATTCTAGATGAAACTTATTACCAAATATGATTATTATAGAAAGTCTAATATAATAATAATTTATAGTCTGATTTTTGTTCTATATGGTTACTCATTATCAAATATGTGTTACTACAGAATGTCATATAATATAATAATCTATTTTATAATCTATTTTATAGTCTAATTTATATAATAGTCTAATTTATTTCACAATAGCAATATAATAAAATTTAATTGTTTTTATTTAAAGAAAAACAATTCTAATATCATTTTTTCTCACAAATTCTTTCTTCTCTTTCTCCCTATTATTTTAAATCAAAACCTTTTTAAAGTTATTATTATTATGCCTTCTAGAAGCACTATTGAAATTAGAAAAGAATCAAAGTATTATTCTTGTTGATAAAGTTTAAGTTGATGGTAATAACTCTTTAACTTTTATTATATATATATATACAGGTACACCTCAATATAACGAAATTGGCATCTAGGTTGATCAGCCCTTCATTATAAGAAAATTCATTATTAATATAACGAATTATTTGGTATAATAAATGATTACTGAAAAAGGAAATACAAACATAATTTTACTATGATATAATTAAAGTTAATTTTATGATATCATTTTATAGAATAACCTCTTCGTGGTTAAAGTTAAAGTGATCTTGAAGCAATTTTGATAATGCAAAAATTGGAATTAATCTTAAATAAAATAATTTATAACAATAAATATAAATTTATTTTTAAAAGTTTTGAGATCTCTTTATTAAACAAAAAAAAAGTAAAAAAATTTATTAATAATGGTTCAAAATATAATTAATTAATATTATTTATTTGTACGAAAAAAAATAATAAAATAAAAAACCAATAAAAAAATAAAACATCACAAAATGAAAACCCCATACTGGTAAAAAAAAAGAAATTAAAAAAAAATAAAACCCCTATAATAAAAATGAAAATAAATATTAAAACCTTGATAAAAAATAAAAAAATTAAAAAAAACAAAAAAAATTAAACACTCTACTCCCCATTTCAACTACTGGTTCACTGTCAACACATTATGGGCTCTTCTTTAATGATGCCTCATAACTAAAAAATGTAAAAGATACTTAATATAAATCTAAAAATTCCTAAAATTTTTATTAAAAACTATCAATTAAACATAATAATTATTTAGCCTATCTCAAAATAGATCATAAAATCGTTTTCCATTATATGATCACCTTTCCCTCTTCTCGTACTATTACGCTAATCACAAGTGTCCTAAAGGATACATATTAATTACTTATTAAGTT